GCTCCCATGGACATGGAGCATAGCCTACTGATTTTAGTGGCTTTAATTTTAAAAGTTTGGGCTTGGATGTGCAGAAAACATAATTTTCTTCTCTTAGGAAGACAATATGGTGTGGAGTTCAGAAGTAGGAGTGAGAGTCCTGGGATCAATGCTGGTTTTATTCCTTCATGGTGTATATGGTAGCAAGTTAGATAACACTCTTAACCTCTCTGTCATTTTGTCTTCCCTATAATAGTTGTATTTTTCCCCGTCTTTCAGGTTCACAGGAAGCACTGGGGCTAAAATAGGCTGGGGTTGATGTGCGCATGGTACAAACCCAGTGTGGCTGAACCTGGATCCCCCAAATCTGCCACCAAATTTCTGGTCAGATGCTCTGAACCATTTTATCCTTGATCAGGAGAAACCCAGGAACTAGGCAAGAGACAGACACTAAATGAACTTTGACAATTTGGGTGTTAGGTGCTCAGAAAGGTGTTGAAATTAGCCTAATTCTCACCTTTGATTAAAAGCAGGGAGGTTTTCATGACTCTATAAATCATAAATATGTAGCAAAATGTAGGGAGATAGAAATTTATCATCAACACACAATTCATCATCAACCAACTCTTCCACCTCTACTGATAGTTTTGGATGAGTTAATCTCTCAGGATTTTAACCCATCTTCCTAAAAACTGACAATAATAACTGCTTAGTGGGTTATTTTTAGGATTATATAAGATAATATGTGCAAAGTACTCACAGTCTTTCACAGGATGTTTAAGCTGAATGTGCCATGGAAAACCAAATAAGGACTATGATCAAATTACAAATAACAAAGTAGGTTTGCCTACATTACACAGATAAATCACAAAAATATAGTGGATGTAAAAAAAGAAAAGTGGGGGTGGATATTACACCTCACATATGTAAATTTCAAAACACACCAAAACATAGTGTTTTTAAAAAAGTGACTGATTTCTAAATCTCTATGACATGGAAGAATATCTATCGTGAATACACGACAGTGGATACCAATAAGGGCAAGGGAAGGAATCGAGGAGGTGGGGAAGACACAGGGAAAACAATCAGATAAGATGAGCAAGGGCATTGCTAGTGAAGATCCTTATCAGGAACGTGGAGGTATGGTTCGTTTAATTTTGGATCTGAGGTCCCTTAGTGTTGTTTTTAAGAAACTGTCAGTCACTTGAGACAGAGCCTCCATGTTTCATGTGCTCAGTAGTTAGTAACTAAAAGTGTGTACATTTATAAGAGTACAGACATTAGGAACACCTTTTCGATATCCTGTTAACCTTTATACCCTGATGTATAAATCACGGGTTGTGAGAGACTAAGAACTCCACTGATCCTGTAAATAAGCTCCACTGTTTTTCAGAGCAGGAAGTGAAGCCCAAGGAGAGGAAGTAGGCCTCTGGTGTGTCCCAGCTATCTAGTGCCTGTGGTAGTGATGGACTCTGTGGAGCTGGAACAATTCTGAGTGAGTCTTTGGAGAGGTTTCATCAGCCCTGGACCCTACAGCAGAGGGACTGAGCAGCCTGAGAAGGGTGTGTGTCATGCGATGTTCGTTTGTCCCTCCCACCTGTGACCCCTGACTGGAGCCTGAGGAAGCCCTGGACTCAAGAGCAGCCTCCACTGCCCTTCCATGAACCTGTGTGGAACCAACATGGCTTTCATGTTTCACAGATGCCCAGGCTTCTTGGGGGTCTCATCACAAGTACAGAACCTGTTACCATCAGGTTCTTGGGGATTAGACTTTAGGTAGAAAGGAAGTATAAAGGGTCTCACATGGAAGCCAGAAGATGTGCCTACTATTTCTAGGTCAGGAGAAAACTTTTTGGCTTTGGAGCAAGTCAGTGACTTTGCTGTAACTCAATTATTTATCACCAAAACTATAAACTTGTCAGTCATGTCCAGTCCTCAGAGGTGGAAATAGGCACAGATGTTTATGAGTATAAAAATATAAGAAGGAAGGTATGAAGAATGAATGATTTTATTATAATAAGTTTTATGAAAAAATGATAATTTCTTATTCCTACAGCAAATAAAATTCCTACTTCTGGCAATGGACAATAATTTCCTACTAATGTAATTTTAATATTCTTGGAATTGGAGATTGATTGAGGAGTCTGCATTAGAAAGTTCCAACCTGAGGAGATTGGGACTGTAGTAATAGAAGGCCAGGACAATGGTTCAAGGACAGCAGTGCTAGGTGTTGGAATCAGGACTCTTGTATGTCTGCCAACAGACAGTCTTATCTGTGTAATCTCAGTTTCTCATCCACAAATAAAGTTCTTTATGGTAGAGTTGTTGTGAGAATCTATAAGGTATTGTGTATGGAATGTTCTAGAACAGGAGGATGCCTTTCTATGCAGTTGAGTTGTTGCTCAGAATCTATAAGATATTGTATGTGGAAAGTTCTAGAACAGGAGAGATTGATAAAAAATGTGAATCTGGGATTCTGTGTAAAAACTTCATAGGATCACTTGACCCAGAGGCCCTTTAATGAAAATTCTAGATGGATTTGGAAAAATGGTGAGCTGTAAGCACACAGTATCATGGTGTAACTCAGGTCTGTGCCAGATGGGAACAAGAAGTTTTAGGAAATGGAATGTTATCATGACTCACATATAAAGCACACTAGACATAATTATCCAGAGCAATTGGTAATGTACAAGAAAAGGGCATCTAACAGGATGTTTAAAGGAATCTCCTAGAAGCAGCAGAAGTATAGTGACATTTCTTTCTCTACACACAGAATCATATTGTTTGATACTTTAATGTATGGCATGTAAAAGGGCTGACTAACAAATATGGTGTATGCTTATATTTTAAAAAGTGTTACAGTAAAATACACATTACTATTAAATTCTCTCAAAATTACCCCACCCCCTTGCACTGAACACACGTATCCCTTCCTGTTTGCCATTTTGAAGCAGTTCTCGAAGCCCTCTATTTTGAGTGTCTTTACAAGGTGGGATTAAAAATTTGGCAGAATGCTTTTGCTGATTGCTGTCCAATGGAAAGGCAACTCATAAAAACATAACATTAAAAAAACGATGTGGTGTTCTCATCCACCTTGTTCACTCCATGTGGCACTGTACAGCTTCAGTATCTTCTCCTAAATCAAAATGGCCATGAAAGTTAAACAATCTCAGTTAGTTCAGGACACTAACACACCCATGATAGCACAGCTGAAGACATAAGAGAGGACTTGCTGGACTGCTTCAGAAACGCCAAAATCGATGGGATGAGTGTGTTCAAAGCGAGGGGGACCCTTTTGAAGGGGATTCATGGCAATATGTCTTTCTCTACAATAAATTTTTAAACCCACTTTGAAACCCACTACATTTTTGGGTACACAGCTCATATGTAATTGTAACAGGGAAGTACTACTTACTTTTTTCATAACCCATAGAGAAAATATAAAAGAATTAATTAGAAATTATTATACAAATAAGCATTATTGTATGACTGGGACAAAAGGTTGAGGACAAAAGGTTTCAAAAAGTGACATGGAAAGAAGTAAGAAAGAATAGGGGAATATTTTCAATGTCTTCTTTAGATTCCAAACTTACTCAGTTACTGAAACACAGATAGATATACCTGTATCATCTGTATTTATACCCGAGAGAGACAAATGTATTATTTGAAAAGGTACAGATAACAGCATAACAAAGTTTATATGAGAGAAATGCATTACCTTTCAGAATAGAAAATCAACAGATGCTATCTAGAATTGGTGATAATAATTTCTAATTATATTTAACTACCTCTGTGTGCCGACCACTGTTCCATCTCTCTTAAAGATATTAACTTATTTAATATTCAAGACAATGCTGTGGTGTAGCCTTGCTTTTTCCATTTTAAGGAAGAGAAATTGAGGCACAGGGAAGTTAAGTGTCTTGTCTGAAGCTCATAGCCAAAGAGTGACAAGATCACCAGATGTAATAAATTACATAGAATTAGGGACAATAAATAATGAAAAAATTTAAAAGACAGTATACTGAAAATGATGACCTTTATCTTTTATTTTAAAGAGAAAAAATTAAAAATAAAAATAACAATAAAACAGAGTTTCAAAGAGGCTAGTAAGAGAGTAACAATAATAAATATGTATTGTTATCTTCATAGTAGTTATTCAGAGTGTAAGATATGAGCATGAGATTGTGTCCAAACAATATTATTTTCAATGAACTAAGAGAAACTAGCTATAAAACTATCTTAACTGTCTTGTGTGTACATATATATATATATATATATATATATATATATAATTCTTTTTCCTTCCCTTCCTTTCCCCTTTCCCTCATCACAGTTTTTGTTTTCTTTTGAACAACAGATGATGTCCTTTAAACTGAAATGGTAATGTTTACAGTGGAGAGAAAAATTCTTCTGTCTATTACTACAGACTAGGCAATTGTGTCTGCACAACACAAATAATCATATAATGATAAAAAAAACAATTCAGTGCATGCTATGAGGGAGCAGTGAAGACAAAGAGCAGATTCATCATCCTCCAACTTCTGAAAGGCTTTCCTGAGAAGATGAGATTAAAGTCCTTGTATCTGGAAGGGATAAAACCAAGGTCAAAGCATGGGAGGTACAGAAGCAGAATTCAGTTCCTAAGAGACTGAGCAGAACTGGCCCAGAGGATGGGGTGGGGTGTGCCGTAGCAGAGACTCCAGCCCTGTATAAGGACACCATAAATGCCATCTTGGTCCCTCCCACCCTGAGAATCACATGTTTCTCATCTTCACAGCTCTTTCCACATCTGAACCAGAGTTCACCTGAATCAGAAGCACCAGCTCCAGGCTCAGCTCCACCACACAAGGAGACGCCCAAGGAGAATCAGCCAGTCTCAGTATTTCTGCAAATCAACATGTGTAAATACATCCAGAATTATCACCTTAACTTCTGCCATTGAGAAAAAGTCCTCTCCTTCACTTCTGGGACTTTTGTTTTACCTTAGTCTCACCCTCTGAGCAGTGGTCCACAGTGAGTACATGGCTCAGAATAATCTCAGCTCAGTCACTGAGTTCATCCTCATGGGCTTTACCGACCACCCCAACCTGCGGATTCCCCTCTTCCTGGTGTTTCTCAGTTTCTACCTTGTCACCCTGCTGGGGAACGTGGGGATGGTTATTCTCATCCGAGTGGACGCCCAGCTCCACACCCCAATGTACTTTTTCCTGAGCCACCTGGCCCTGCTAGACGCTTGCTATACCTCGGTCATCACCCCTCAAATCCTGGCCACCCTGGCCACAGGTGAAATGGTCATCTCCTATGCCCAGTGTGCTGCCCAGTTCTTTTTCTTCACTATTTGTGCAGGCACAGAATGCTTCCTGCTGGCTGTGATGGCCTATGACCGCTATGTTGCTATTAGCAACCCGCTGCTCTACACGGTGGCCATGAAGCCCATAATCCGCTGGAGTCTGGTGGTGGGGGCCTATGTTTGTGGGGTGTCAGGGTCCATCCTGCGTACCACATGCACCTTCTCCCTCTCTTTCTGTGAGGACAACCACATCAACTTCTTTTTCTGTGACCTCCCACCCCTGCTGAAGCTTGCCTGCAGTGACACAACAAACATTGAGATCATCATTGTCACCTTCGGCAACTTTGTGATTCTGGCCAATGCCTTGGTCATCCTGATCTCCTACCTGCTCATCATCAAGGCCATCGGGAAGGTGAAGTCTCCAGGAGGCAGGGCCAAAACTATCTCCACGTGCGCCTCCCACCTCACTGCTGTGGCCCTTTTCTTTGGAACCCTCATCTTCATGTACATACGGAGCAGCACAGGCAAGTCCCTGGAAGAAGACAAGGTGGTGTCTGTCTTCTACACCACAGTCATCCCCATGCTGAACCCTCTCATCTACAGCCTGAGGAACCAGGACGTGAAAGCAGCCTTCAAGAAGGTCACCGGTAGGTTCCAGGTGTCCCACAGCATGTAGACCTACAGAAAGGTCCTTTTGAGGAGACTTTCCCCAAAGTATGCAAGGTGGCTTGGTTTATCCTGAAAATAGCAACATAATATTAGAGCGGGAACTACAGAGCATGTATGCTATCATTTTTGTCTCATGTGGATACATTTCGACACTCACATCAGGCGAATCCTCTAGCCACAGATAGACAAGCACAGGAGTGTATGGCAATGAGACGAGTCAGGAATGTGCTGAAATTACACCCAAGAAGTCCGTTGAACCTTAGTGTTGTCCTCCTTTCTTACTTCTGGCCCATTCCTGAGCACTCAGCAGTCTCCTGCCACTCTCTGATGGCATCACTTACAGAATCTGAGATCCCAGCGTTCTTCATTTATTTCGTCATATGCCACGGCTTGCCATCATCTTCCTCTTATCTTCCCTCCTATCACTTACTGTGCTTTTGTGTGAAAGATTTATCTGGGGATGCCTGTGAATTGTGCTGAGGGTCTTCCTTTTTACTCCTTTCACAGTATGTAAGTGAACGATCATCTCAATTACCAACCAAGGAGTATGGTACAGACCACAGCGTGGTCTCAAATTGGTTGAAAGAAGATGTTTGAGAACCAGGCACCTTCTCCACTACTATTCAGTGTTCATCCCCATTACCATGTTTGCATTCTTTTTCACATGAGAATAAGAGAATTTGGAAATTACCTTTTCATTTGGTAACTCATTAGCTTTGTGTTTCCTGCCTCATTGTTATGTTAATGTCTTAAAAAACCGAACTAAGTCACCTAATCTTTGAGAGAATATGGTTTTATGGCTGTGTCTGGTTTCTTCAGGAGATGGTGAATTGCTCCTTCCTACTGCCTGCATCATGAATGGTTCTCACCAAATATGTTGTTTCAAGGACAGCAATGCCAGAGAGTAGGAATGGATACAGAGAGGCAGCTGAAGTATGAAGTACTTTCTCTAGCGATGATTTGATTAAGGAGAAATAACCACAATGCCTGTTTCATGCTGCAAGACCCTTGCGAGCAGAATCTTTGTTCCGTTTAGTTCTAATTCAAAATCTAGAACAACAGAACTCTCAGTAACAGCTTTTGAGAGAAGATTTATGCTCCGTGACTGTTCTCATTTGTGTTTTGTGGTAACATGAAACAAATAGAGTTAAGTATAAAACTCCAATTTTGCAATGAAGAAAACTTCATGATTCAAAGCATACTAAGAGTACACAGCCCCAGGCAAGGCACAGAGTCGGACTTGAATTTATTTCCTAATTTTACCTTTTATTCAGTGTGTAGCTATGGATAAATTCTCAGATCTGAAGGAAGAATTATAATTTCTAATTCTCAAAGATGTCATAAAAATGAAATGACAAAAAAGTTGACTAGCATCAGGCAGGTACAGATTGTTCTCTTCTTTGTATTTTCCCTCACTTTCTGATGCCAATCCTGTGCCTGTGACAAAGCTGAAAATCATTGTGGACCAATGATGGCAAAGACCAAGAACTGAAGAGTATCAGTTATTCAGCTCTTTGCACCAGGATGATTTCTTGGGGATGATTATTAGCATTTACTCACAGAGAGACCTAAGGGCACCCTTTGTACTGAATATATTGCTTTCTGCCCAAGAACCCCTCTACCCCACTTTGATACAAGCAGTGAATCCTCCTGCTCCCTCCATTTGAAAACAACCTACCACACAGCCTAAGGCTCATTGATCTGGAAATAAGCACCTGACTCACGTTCAATTTATAAAAATTTTCTGTAGGCATTAAGAAACTGAACTTGTTAAAAATATTCAGAGGAGGAAAGCAGATTGATCAAAGTAAAAAAAAAATCCAAATACTTTCTTTTGTGTGTGTGTGTGGCGGGGGGAGGCGCAGAGTCTTGCTATGTAGTCTAGACTGACTTTGAACTCACTATGTAGCCCAGGCTGGTCTTAAACTCACGACAACCCTTCTGCTCAGGTTCCCTGGTGCTGGGATTACAGGTGTATGCCAGAACACTTGGCTCCTAATTACTATTAAACCTATGAAGAGCTATTTACTTACCTTATTTTCCTTAATAATAAGGAAAAAGACATTTAAAATCACAACATGCTTGCAGTATCCAAAAATCAAAAGGATGACACTATCTTGCTAACAGAAATGTGTAAAATGGACAGAATATATTGGTTTAGAATCTTTGGAAAAGAGCTAGACATCATCCTTCAGGAGTCAAAGATGCATGTGACCCAGTTATTCCAGTGACTTAGCTGTAACTCTCCAGAAACTCTTGGCTGTGAGCCGCAGGACATGGGCACAGAGATTTCATAAAGTGCTGTTGTACTTGCACAAAGCTCAGAGTTCCTGTCTTCAGCGTCTCATTCTTGTGGTTATGTTGTGGGTGGGGCCCCCACAGCATTGTGTTCAAGGCTGGGTTGCTGATGTGCATCCAGGAAGTGACCACATCTTGACTTTACCTATGGACCATTCCACTGAGGAAGTCATAATTTGATGGCGTCATTGGGAGGTGATGGAAACAAGAGCTGAGGACTTGTGGAAGAGAGTGGACCCTTGCGAGTGACACGGGCTGTGTCTGGTTGGCCTCACTGTCTTCCTCTCTGCCTGGAAGCCACACAATGAGCACCTTTGCTTCACCATGCTTTCTTCCTCTTCATGATGCTCGATTTCACCAGAGCCTCAAAAAAGGGAGCCAGCTGACTGTGAACTGAAACCCCCAAAACCATGAGCCAAAAATAAACCTTTTTCCTTTAAACTGTTTTCCTCAGATGTAGTGTCACAGTGATGGAAAACTAACACAGGGCTAATGCAGAGTGTGGGAACAATTCCTTTGTGTGAGACAGAAGTAAGAACCATTTCTCTGCTTAAAGAAAACAGCTAGAAAAAACACATACTCACACACTCACACACACACAGGGGATACATTGTCAGGGACTGATATACACAGGTGAAAAACTTTTAAATTAAAAAGGAAATGACTATATCCACTGAAAAGCTATACTAACAAGGGGAGAGACCTCCTAGGGGAAAAGACCTCCTAGAACCTGAAGAAGAAAAGGATTCCATTTATTGTGGTTTGATAGTGACTGCCTGGATATTTATTTACGTTTTAAAATGATAACTGAATCCATTTTCTGTGTATATACCTATGCAGGTGTATCTCTATGTATTTATATAAAACAATTTGTAGTCTAGGTGTCTGAGGCCCCGTGCAGGGTGAAGGGCTGAGACGTGGGTCCTGTGCTCCTTTGAGGTAACTCCATCCTTTTCCCTTGGCAGCACAGTGGGATTTCAAGGTCCTTGCCTGACTTGGCTTTTCTCTTATCAGCTGTTGTTAACAATTTGTTAGTGATTTGCTACCGTAAAGCAGTTTTACTTGCATAGCTCAGGAATAAACTCAGGGTCTTTGACACCAAGCTACACCTCCAACCCATTTTTATTTATAGTTTTGAGGCCAGATTTTGATAAGTCACTAATTTGCACAGATAGGGCTCAAAATTGGGATCCTCTTTTCTCAGCCTTCTAGCATGCTACAAATAGAGGTGTGCACTATCACATTCAGCTGCAGCCTTTCTTTTTATGGATCATTTGATTGATAGATAAAATTTAAAGGTGTTTGATGTGTGTATATATTGTATGACTGCTAAGTCAAGCTAATTAACATATAAATGCCTTACCAATTTATCATTTGTGTCCATAGTGAGAAGGCTCAAACCCTATTCTAGCATTTTTCAGGTATCAGTTTGCAAAGCATTTTTTATTTAAAAATTAAATGCACAGCAAGACTGAGCATTATTTCAGAGGTCAGTCTGGGGGCAGAAGGCCAACCTGGAGACTCTGCTGCAGAGCAGGATATGGAGGACTGAAGACCTCCTGTGTCTATGGCTTCCTCGAAGTGGTGAGACTCTGATTGGAGGAAGTGGCATCCTTTAGCCAACCAATAGGTGAAAGCAACCTGCTCAAAGCCTTAGTAACTGGGTTTACCCTGTCCTTTGTCTGGACTGTAGCTGTCCTTCACACCTCTCAAGTCACCTGTACTCCTGTGGTGACCTCAGGTGAGACACTTACCGCTCTGCCTCAGCTTCTTCATCTGGAGCACAGCAAAGAAGGTTTGCATTTCTCTCATTTTCTTTCTGGTGCTGAAATAAGTGGAATGGAGCTGACAGAGCTTTTTCTGAAGAACACAATGGAAAGCATAGAAAATGCTGTCTCTTGGGGTCTGACCCTGAGTCTCCTGAACCTTTTAATCCCCAGACCTAGTGTTTGCTACACAGATGGAGAGCGAAGTGGGTATAAAACCCTGCAATCAGTCTAACTCAGAGAAGCCAGTTTCACCCCAAAGCTGAAAGCCTTGCCTCATGCATTAAAGTGAAATTTACTCACAAGTCTGGGCTGAAATAATGCAGGCTAAGAGCCGGTAAATATTTAATGTGGATTGTACAGAAAAAGAGTTTCTTTCACTTATCCATAACAAAATTGTACACAGCATTGTCTTAGGTGACACCTACAAGTTGATAAGACCATAGAAGGATTCAAGGGGATCAGAAAACTCTATTAGTCACAAACAAGGTGACTAGGGTTGTTTGAGCAAGAAGCAGGTGGCCCACACAAGGGAACCAGAAAGACACAAAGTCTGGAATTTACATAGCAGCACGGCCTAAATCCAGGCACACCTCTGGTTCCACTACCTTCTGGAATTTTGTGCAAAAGTGCATTTCCACCATATGCATAATATCAATCCAAGGAGTACTAAAGAATTGTATTTCCTATGTATTTCAGATCCGTGTAGCAGAAATCTACTCAGACCTGCTCTGAAAACATGAGAAAATGTTAAATTTGCTTCTTAGTTTTTCTCAAAAAGACAGAAACCACTCTTTTCCTAGGAGGTAGTATAAATTACCATATTATTTGGGAGATAAAATATATTCTAGCGACTGCTGAATGTGCTTTCCAAATTACTGAAGTTAATCTAGGTGTTATCTCTGACTTTTTAGACAAGGTATTTATCTTCCCAAACATTTTC